TTACAATAGAATTTGCTTTACTTATTCCAATTGTTTAAGATGAAAGTACATGCCTTCATATGTTTAAGCCTTGGTACATTTCTTTCAGTGAGGTTTTGTAGTTTTCTTTTTTTAATATTTATTTATTTTGTTTGAAAGTCAGAGTTACACAGAGAGAGAAGGAGAGGCAATGAGAGAGAGAGGTCTTCCATCTGCTGGTTCACTCCCCAATTGGCCACAATGGCCGGAGCTGTACCAATCTGAAACCAGGAGCCAGGAGCTTCTTCCGGGTCTCCCACATGGGTACAGGGGCCCAAGGACTTGGGCCATCTTGCTTTCCCAGGCCATAGCAGAGAGCTGGACTGGAAGTGAAGCAGCCAGGACTTGAACTGGGTAGACTTTAGAATTTTTACAGCTATGTTCACCAGGGATATTAATCTGTACTTCATTTCCCCAATAATTGTGAGGGTGTATCATAAAAAATGATGTTTGTGGAATGAGTTGAGAAGTATTTTCTTTCTCAATTTTTTTAGATGAGTATGTAGAAGTTTTATTCTTTTTTATTTTAATAGGGTTCACCAGTGAGTGATCTGGGCTTACAGTTCTCTTTACTTAAAGGCTAGTTTTTAGACCATAAATTTAATTTTTTCCTAAGACTTGGGACTATTCTGGTTATCTGTTTCTTCATGAGTGAGCTTTTTAGTTTTTGTCTTTGAAAGACTGTGTCCATTTCATTTAAGTTGTTGAGTTCATTGCCATTGGTTGTTTACAATAGCTCTTTATTATATTTTTAATGTCTCTAGAATCTTTAGTAATGAAACCTCATTTATTACTCATATTGGTAATTTGTGTCTTCTCTCCTGATTTTTTTTTATTTTTAGTTTTTATTTATTTGAAAGGTAGAGTTAGACAGTGAGAATGAGAGACAGAGAGAAAGGTCTTCCTTCCGTTGCTTCACCCCCCAAATGGCTGCTCTGGCTGGCACTGGGCCGATCCGAAGCCAGGAGCCAGGTGCTTCCTCCTGGTCTCCCATGCAGGTACAGGGCCCAAGCACTTGGGCCATCCTCCACTGCACTCCCAGGCCAATGCAGAGAGCTGGACTGGAAGAAGGGCAGCCGGGACTAGAACTCAGTGCCCATATGGGATGCTGGCGCTGCAGGTGGAGGATTAGCCAAGGGAGCCACGGTGCCGGCCTTCCTGATCTGTTTACAAGAGGTTTATTCCTTTTATTGAATATTGGAAAGAATCATGTTTTCATTTTATTATTTTCTCTGTTGCTTTTTATTTTACATTTCTTTGATTTTCTTTAATTTTACTTCTCCTTAATTTGGATTTAATTTGCTCTTCATTTTTTAGTTTCTTTTTAATGTAATCTGTTAATACTATAAATTTTCTTTTTATATAGTCCATTAGCTGCATCCTGCACATTATGAAATGTTGTGTTTTCATTTTCATGCAGTCTAAAATGCTTTTTAATTTCTCTTTTGATTTCTTTTTTGGCCCCAGTGTTATTTAGATATATATTCTAGGGATCAGCTCTGTGGCACAGTGGGTTAAACTGCTGCCTGCAGTTCGAGTTTCTGCTGCTCCACTTCCAATCCAGCTCCCTGCTTCTGTGCCTGGGAAAGCAGCGGAGGATGGCCCAAGTGCTTGGGCCCCTGCACCACATGGGAGACCAGGAGGAAGCTCCCCGCTCCTGGCTTTGGCCTGGCCCAGCCCTGGCTGTTGTGGTCATTTGGGGAGTAAACCAGCAGATGGCAGATCTCTCTCTCTCTCTCTCTCTCTCTCTCTCTCCCTCTCTCTCTCCCTCTCCCTCTGTGTGTGTGTGTGTGTGTGTCTCCCTCCGTCTCTGTAACTCTATCTTTCAAATAAATAAATAAATCATTAAAAAAGTATTTTCTAAATACTTGGAATTTTTGTAAAGATATTTTTGTTCTTGATTTTTATAATAATCCTTCTGTATTCATGGTATATTGCTTCCAGTACTCCTCAGAGATGCCCAGCTTTATGGATGCTCAAGTCCCTTACATAATCTAGTGGTCTAGTAATTGCACAAACCTATATACATCCTCTCATCTACTTTAAATCATCTCTAAATTTACTTGTAATACCTGATACAGTGTATATACTGTGTAATGAGTTGTTATTCCTCATTATTTAGGAGTAATGTTAAGAAAAACAATCTGTAAATGTTTACTAAAGATGCAGTTTTTATTTTTTATTTTTTAAACATTCATTTTATTTATTTGAAAGACAGAGTTACAGAGAAAAGTGGAGCCAGAGAGAAAGAGAGGTTTTCCATCTGCCACTACACTCCCCAAATGGCTGCAGTGGCTGGAGCTGAGCTGATCTGAAGCCAGGAGCCAGGAGCCAGGAGCTTCCTCTGGGTCTCCCATGTGGGTGCAGGGGCTGTGGACTTGGGCCGTCTTCCACTGCTTTCCCAGGCCATAGTAGAGAGCTGGATCAAAAGTGGATCAGCCACGACTCGAATTGGTGCCCATACAGGATGCCGGCACTGCTGGTGGTGGTTCTACCTGCTATGCCATAGTGCTAGCCCCTGTTGTTTTACGAATCTTTCTTTCCTTTATCGCTATCTTTTTTTGGGATTAGTGGTATGCTTTGATTTCTTACTTTTTAATCTTTGTATGGCTTCTGTAGCTTTTTATGGTTACTGTGAAGCTTAAGTAGAACATTTCGTAGTTACCGGCTCATAGCTTTATAGTTTCATAAAAACAACTTACATTGCATATAAAAACTCTACACTTTTATCCCATCCCTCTCTTCTTTCATTTTGTGTTTTTGATGCCATGTACTTTTTGTATCTGAATATTTATGTGTTTCCCCAAATTTGCAAAGTTTTCTGCTATTATTTCTTTAAATAATTTTTTACCTCTTTCTATTTTTCTTTTCCTTCTCTAACTGTCGTACTGTTGTATGAGATCTCTTGTTGCTGTTCCGTAAATCTCATAGACTTTTGTTTACTTTTTTAAACATATCCACTTTATTTACTTTTCAATTGTTTAAATCCCTGAGAGGCAGAAAATCACGTGGGTTGTATACCCAATGACATAAGCAGAACAGTTGATTGGAACTGGACATGAACCATGTTTCTGTGGGCTTGAGTTACCTTTCCCAGATTGTTCTGGTTTTATTTGGTGCCACCAGGAGTCACTCTGTTCTTTCTCTTCTACACATGAGTGTATCTCTTGCCAGGATAGAATTCAGTTTCATCTCAAGCACAGATATCTTCAATTTTAGGAAAAGTTGTATGCTCCTTTTGGTTCCAGAGACTCTGCTTATAGCAATCAAAAATAGCCTTGAACCACAGCTTTCTAGAAGCATTTGCCCTTTTTTTTTTTTTTTTTTTGACAGGCAGAGTGGACAGTGAGAGAGAGAGACAGAGAGAAAGGTCTTCCTTTTTGCCGTTGGTTCACCCTCCAATGGCCACTGCGGCTGGCGCACCGCGCTGATCCGAAGCCGGGAGCCAGGTGCTTCTCCTGGTCTCCCATGGGGTGCAGGGCCCAAGCACTTGGGCCATCCTCCACTGCCTTCCCGGGCCACAGCAGAGAGCTGGCCTGGAAGAGGGGCAACCGGGACAGAATCCGGTGCCCTGACCGGGACTAGAACCCGGTGTGCTGGCGCCGCAAGGCGGAGGATTAGCCTAGTGAGTCGTGGCGCCGGCCAGCATTTGCCTTTTAGAAGTTGTGTTTCCAGCAGCCCTCCACAGTTCCAAGGGGGCCACAGGTGAACAGTAGACTTTTTATATTGATGTTCCTTTTTTTAAATAAAAAAAAAAAACTTCTACTTAGTTTCACTTTATTTGAAAGAGAAAGAGAGAGAGAAAAGGGAGAGAGGAGCAAGGGAGAGGGAGAGAGGGAGAGAGAGGGAGAAAGATATCTTCTATCCTCTGGTATGTTCCCCAAATGCACAGAACAGCCAGAGCTGGGCCAGGCTGAGCTGGGCCAGGAACTTCATATGGGTCTCCCCAGGTGGGTGCAGGAAGGCAAGTACTTGAGCCATCACCTGCTGCCCCCCACTGTGCCTTAGAGAACGCTGGATGGGAAGCAGAGTAGCTGGGACTTGAGGCAGGCACTCTGATGTGGGATGCAAAGCATCCTAAGTGGTAACTTTAACACTGCTGCACACCTGCCTTTCCTTTTCACTTGTTTGAGGAACATCTGTATTTATAGTTTTAAATAAACAGAGATGATTTTCTGGGATCTTGTAATAATTATTTGTGTTTTGCTTTTAGTTTCTGTATATAACTCATATCTTTAAATGTATTTCATATATTTTACTGCATTGCAGTTATTGTGTTTTATGATACTCAGATATATTTGTCTTTGGCCGGTGATAGTCTCTTTAAGTTTGTACTCAAATTTTCTCTTTCTCTTTTTTACGAGAGTTATTTATTTGAAAGGCAAAGTCACAGAGGCAGAGAGAGAGAGAGAGAGAGAGAGGTCTTCCATCCACTGGTTCACTCTCCAAATGGCTGCAAAGGCCACAGCTGAGCTGATCTGAAGCCAGGAGCCAGGAACTTCTTCCAGGTCTCCCACATGGGTGCAGAGGCCCAAACACTTGGGCCATCCTCCACTACTTTCTCAGGCCATAATTGAGAGCTAAATTGGAAGTGGAGCAGCTGGAACTCGAACCAGCATCATATGAGATGCCAGCACTACAGGTGGCAGCCTTACCTGCCACGCCACAGCGCTGGCCCTGGCACTAAATTCTTTTCATGAAGCCCTACTGGTCATTATTAGCTTCCTTTGGTTTGATGTGACAAGATACTCTAGGTTCATCCTGTACATGTTCTGCCTAAACTTGGAATCATCCCTTAGGAAAAAATATATTGATTATGAAGTGTTATTATGAGGAATAAATCCAGGTTAACATATTATACTTCAAAAATGGACTTCAGACATAACTAGTGATATTAACAACTTATTCACCAAAGCTTCCTATTTTAATTGTTACATTTTTTCTTTGTGATCACATTAGATGATTTTTCTTCTTCTTTGTAGGATTTGCCAATCAATCAGAAGATGACCAGGTGAATGTGATGGGTTTTCGTTTCTTAGGAGGTTCCCGAGTTACCCTTCTGGCTTCCAAAACTTCTCGTGAGTAAAACCATGCTATTTTGCTTTTGAAATTTTCTGCTGAGAACACCACATCACAGAACATCCTTACAGCCAGGAATCCTAGAAAGGGTGATGTTAAATTAGGTAGCAAATGACTAAGAGCTGTGGTAGTAAGTGTATTTTTTTTTTTTTTGTGGTAAGAGAGTTTGGGAGGAGAATTTAGAGTTTTAAAATATTTTTGAGATAGATGTTTGGTTAATTATGTTTTAGGAACTGTTAGAAATTGAAATTGATTGCTGTTTGATTTTTGGGATATATTCTTTTCCCTGGCTCTTGGACATTGGTAAAAACGAATGACTTTTGCTGAGTCTAATCCCAGTCATCAGGCGATTAGTAATTGTTATATTCAAATTTGACTTTCAGAATTAAATATATTGTAATGATTTATTTACCTCACATGAGAATGATAGTTGAAACTAGTCAATGGAAACTGACTTCTGAGGTATGTGGTGTACTGGAGCTACTGAATATTGTTATATGTTAAATGGAAATCTAGTAAGATATCGAGAAAGGAAGTCCTTTTAGCAAACTTGGGTCCAGGAGCAAATTGTGTGTTGGAACAGTCCGGTGGAGTATGGTCTCATTAATAAAAAATCTTTGCTGTTTGTACTTTTACTGGGAGATTTTCTGCCTTAGCATTCTTTCATGATGATAACTATCTTTCTCTGTTTTTGTGTGTAACACATCCTTAAATATCATTTATAAGGCTGGATGAGTGGTCAACGTTTTTTCAATTTCAGTTTGTGTTGGAAGGTGTTTCTTTCACCTTCATTTGTAAATGAGAGATTTGCTGGGTACAGTATTCTGGGTTAAAAGTTTTTTTCTTTTAGGACTTGGACTGTATCTCCCCTTTCTCTCCTAGCCTGTAGGATTTCTTATGAGAAATCATTGTTAGTCTAATTGGAGATCCTCTGAAGGCAATCTGGTGTTTCTCTCATGCATATTTTATAATATTTTCTTTATGTTTCACTGTTGACATTTTGTCTATAATATGTCGTGGTGAAGATCTTTTCTGATCTATTAGTACTTCTTGTACTTGGTGTCCCTTTCTTTCTCCAAATGAGGGAAAATTTCTGTTATTGTTTTACTGAATAGGACTTCTATTCCATTCTGTCTTTCAACACCTTCACAAACTCCTAAGACATGTATGTTTGGTTGTTTGATAACATCCCATAAATCTCAAACAGTATTTTTTAAATACTGTTTAAATTTCCTCATTTTTCCTCTTTTTTTTTTTTTTTTTTAGTTTGAGATCTTCCCAAGCATTTGTCTTCTAGCTTGGATATTCTTTCTTCTGCTTCATCAAGTCTGTTGTTAAGGATTTCCACTGTGTTTTAAAACTGTTTGACATGTTTAATTCTTTCTTTCTTTCTTTCTTTCTTTTTTTTTTTTTGACAGGCAGAGTGGACAGTGAGAGACAGAGAGAAAGGTCTTCCTTTTGCCATTGGTTCACCCTCCAGTGGCTGCTGTGGCTGGCGTGCTGCGGCCAGCGCACCGTGCTGATCCGATGGCAGGAGCCAGGTACTTCTGGTCTCCCATGGGGTACAGGGCCCAAGCACTTGGGCCATCCTCCACTGCACTCCCGGGCCACAGCAGAGAGCTGGCCTGGAAGAGGGGCAACCAGGACAGAATCTGGCACCCCGACCGGGACTAGAACCTGGTATGCTGGCGCCGCAAGGTGGAGGATTAGCCTAGTGAGCCACGGTGCTGGCCAGACATATTTAATTCTTCATTTCTATTATTTCAGTTTGATTTCTCTTCAATATTTCTACCTCCCAGCAAAATTTTCACCCATGTTTTGTATGGATTTATTTATCTCAGGTGTTTACTTCTCTGTGTTTTGAGTAATCTTATGATCATTCTTTTGAATTCCTTTTCAGGTGTTTCATCAATCTGTCCTCACATTCTAATACTGTGTGTTATGTTCTTTCTGGGGAGTCATATTATCCTCCTTGTCTTTAAACATCTGTGGAAGCACTTGTTGGTTTTCTCCTCTGTTGGCTTTTATCTTTTTTTTTTTTTCTTGGAGGATCACTAATGGCTTACAACTTAGGTGGATAAAGAATAGCCTTGCCTAGTGGCTGGTCACTTCTTATTAACAATTTGGTATGAATCGCTTCATCATATTGGCCTGCAGTCATTGGATAACTTTAGAAAGGACCCTTGCCAAATCCAGAGATCTGGTAAAGAATAGAATGTGAGCTTTCAAGTTTACAGCAGTGTAAAGCACTATAGGAAGGGATGTAAAGGTCAAGTAGGCCAGCAAAAAGCCCCGGCTGCCTGGGAGACAATAGTGTAAATATTTTGTTAAGGACCATAATGACAGAGACAACACAATAAAATGAGTGGAACTGGACGGCAGTTTTGACACTGTAGGGAGAACATAGTACAAGAATGTTGAAATCACATCAAATCTAATTAACAAAACTAACTTTTATATAGCATTCAAAATAAACTTTTTAAAATTGTATTTGAAAGTAAGAAAAACCGAGGGGAGTGGAGAGGGAGAGAGAGAGAGAGAGAGAGAGAGAGAGAGACCGAGAGAGAGAATCTCCTAGCTAGTCTCAGTCCAGATGTCCCACATGGGAGACGGGAGATGGGAGACAGGGACCCAAGTAATTGAGCAGTCACCTACTGCTTCCTAGAGTGTGCATTAGCACCAAGCTGGAGTCAAGAATGGAGCTTGAACTCAGGGACTCTGATACAGAATGTAGGCATCTCAAGTGGCATCTTACATGTTACATCAAATGCTTGCCCCTCAAAATAAACTTGCAAGCAATATAAAGCTTCAATGTATTCTAAAGCTCCTAACAGTTCTATATAACACAGTTCCAAACCCTTTCACAGATATTTTACTATTTTTTAAACTTTCATTTAATGAATATAAATTTCCAAAGTACAGCTTATCGATTACAATGGCTCCCCCCCATAACTTCCCACCCACCCACAACCCTCCCCTTTCCTGCTCCCTCTCCCCTTCCATTCACATCAAGATTAATTTTCAATTCTCTTTATATGCAGACAATCAGTGGCTTTTATCTTTTAAAAATATGTCTGTGGCTTAGTGGAGTATCTGCTCCTTCAGTGGAAGTGTATGCTGGGTGGGGCCAGGTAACTCTGGCCATTGCTTGAGGGTAAGGCAAGAGTCCAGGGTGACACCCAAGTTCGGGCATCGTAGATCTCTATTACCAGCAGTAGGAGGGTATGATCTTGTTGGCTGGCATGATCACATGGTCATTTCCTTCCTGCCAAGGTGAACCACCCACCCAGGGCAAGCTTGCCTTCAGCCCCACAGTGCTCAGGCACCTCACTCATGCCAGTGCCCCAACTGTGTAACTGTGGGCAGTCCTCCGTGCGAGAGTGGAACCCTGGGCCTCTGAAGCCAGACACAGTCACTGCCCAAACCAGCCACACCCTATTGCACAGTCACAGAATTCTCACAGTCACAGGGTTACAGGGTTAGGTCTCCCACAGTCAAAGGGAGCAGAGCATCCAATTTCCACCCCATAAGCCGCCCCTGTCTACTGAAGAACTGTGACATTCTCAGAACCAGCTGCCAAACCATAGAGGCTGGTCAGTGCTCCCCTTAGCAAGTATGGTCCTGGTATGGGGCAATGATAGAATGAGATGGTGGAGGGAGAGCTTCATGGGCCTAACTGATGCCCTGCCTCCTTGCAACCCTACAGGGAAGACTCAAAATCAATGGGGTCCTCAGATTTATACCTCTGATAAAATCCTGCTGTAGTACATGAGCTGCAGCAGCCTCTACTTGCCTTACTGAGATGGTGTTTCCTCCCCACTGGTTGCTGTATGACTTGCTTCAAGAAGATGGCATCCTCTCCATCTGTTGGCTGCAGGAGTCGGGAGTGGTGTCCTCCTCGCTGTGGCATTATTGTAATGTTCCCGCTGTTCCCAGTGTCTGTTCTTTTTGTGGACTTTCCACCTAAAACTTCTTTCTAACTGTCCTCTGGGAATGCAGTTCTTCTTCTGTTATCTTCCTGTGGTTGGAACTAGAATGTCCTTTTCCTTATTTGGCCTTCTTGTATCTTCTAGAAACTATACTGATGTGTCTTTGGCTAAACTCATACAGCTTCTGGAGTATGTAGATTAATGATTGGTGAAATAGACTTGGGTACAACTAATGGTTCTAGAACAAGGCACAGAGATCAAAGGCAAGATGACAATTTTCTGTAATTTTCATGGTTTTTGTGGTTGGTCCTGATACCGTATTGTTTATAATGGTATCATTAAAAACATTTATTTTATTATCGTATGTCTTAAAAGGTCTACTGTCAATGAATTTTTAAGTGTACAATATATTGTCATTAATTATAGATTCATGAAATTATTTAGCTTTAGGTTAGCTTCAGTCATCAGTTGAAAGAATAATTTTGGTGCATTTTCTTGGTTTAACTGTTATTCTTAAACTAAAAACATTCTTGCAACCTTTTTTGACAAATTATATGCATCTGTTTGATAATGTACCTACAATTGAGACCATTAAAAAAGCAAATATCCATTGTATGTGCAAATGAGCATATTTATATCCTAGTGCATTATATTTGTTCTTTTTTAGATAAAATAACTCTTAGTGTACTGATGTTGCCCATGATTATCTTATTATTATCTAAATTTCACCAAATATCTAGTTGTATAACTGATCTTCTCAGTGTATTTGAATACATGGAAATGCCTTGACACAATCGCAGCATGGGAATATAGACTAAATAATGGAACAGGATGGTACCTTTTAAACAAGGAACTAGATGGACCCTGTAATCTGAGACCTGAATAGTAGCCTTGACCATTCCCTGATGGTTTTTTGTCTCTGTCATCCAGAATCCTACCTTCATGATGCCTTTGATGAAGAGAGAGAGATGTGAAAAGAAGTCAGTTTTCTAGGGTTGAGGCAGGTGTTGGTGCTCCCTTCTCTATTAGGCTATTCATCCTCAAGGAAGGACTGATAGAATTTGTACCAA